TAGGGCATGTTCAGCTACTGCAGATTTTTCTGGTTGTTTTAATCTGCAGTGCCTCTCATGTTCTTTGATTCTGCTGTGAATGCTTCATTTTGTGGTTCCAATATATACCTGGCCACAACTGCAAGGTATCTGGTATACTCCTGCAGTGGTGAGGAGGTCCCTTCTGTCCTTTGCTGACCATAATATTTGTTGTATTTTTGTGGTGGGCTGTGTAGGTTGTCTTTTTTCAAAAGTTTCCCCATGCGGTCCATGACCCCTTTGATGAATGGCAGAAATACTTTATTTGTGGGTGGCTGTTTTTCTTCTTCAGTTCGGTGTTGTTTTCTAGGTTTGATGGCTCTTGTGATTTTATTTTTGGAGTAGCCGTTTACCTGTAGGGCCCAATTCAGATGGCTGAGTTCAGTGCTGAGAAACTGAGCTTCAGTTCCGATTTGCCCGGTCTACCAGTGTTTTGATTATGCCTCTTTTTTGCTGTGGGTGGTGGTTGGAGTTTTTGTGTAGGTACCAGTCTGTGTGGGTGGGTTTTCTGTAAACCTTGTGTCCCAGTCAGAGTTCAGTTTTTCATAGGACCATGACATCTAAGAACGGGAGCTGGCCCTCTATTTCTTTTTCCATGGTGAATTGTATATTTGGGTGGATGCTGTTGAGATGGTTGAGAAATTCTTCTAAATTCTTCTAATTGGGGGCAGTTCTTTGCATAGTGGCACACACAGGCAGTGAATAAGTGGTGAACACTGGAAAGACAGAGTGGCATCTGTTACATACAGCACTGATGTTACCTGTCTGTCATGGGTTTGGAGGGAAAGTTCCATCCTATGGGGAGTGGAAGGCGGGACATCAGGAGGAGGGGCTGTACTGTATATATATGTGAAGCCTGTGTGGAGAAGTTCAGAAGTTGGGGGAAAAGAAGCTGAGAGAAGAAGCTGGTGTGGGAGTCTGTGTGTCAGACAGGGTACTACTGCGTGTCAGTCAATACCTACCTGATAGGTTCAGGTGTCTTTATGGGTAGCCAGAACTGATAGGTTCAGGGTCTGTGCTTTATTTAAAAGTGTTCTGAGTGAACCAAACTGGTGTATGTATGATTGAGACTAAGCCACGTTACTGTATCTTATTCACTTGATCATTTTATTTTCCCTGTGTGTTCTTTAAATAAACCTTATTCCTTTATTTGTTAAAAATCCATTCCTGGTCTGTGTGACTCCTTACAGGGAATGGTTGGTGGCAGCTTAGTGAAACTGTGGCATCTCCCAGTAGGTCTGGGGTTGTCACAGCATCTATCCACATTTTACCCTTATGAAGAAAACAGAGATGTACTATATCACTATAATCCACTATTTTATTTCCTTTCAGTCCTACTTCACAATCTAGCAATGAATATATTGAATACTGGATCACTGATCCATCAAGCCAAATAAGAAACAGCATAAGCAATTCAACAAAATACATTACATGAAATCAGGGTTAAGTTATATCAGAGTAATACTCAAACTAGTGGCAAAGAAAGAAAGAAAGAAACATTACCACACCATCATACGTTCAAGATGCTGCAGGTTTAAAGAGGATGACATCGGAGTATGGTCCCATCAGCATTGGTGGACACATTTCAGATTTAATAATTTGTGACAGAATATTGTCAAGAGTGTCAAAGGCCAAATTAAGGGACAAACTGCAAAGAACAAAAAAATCTGAAAAACTTTATATTACATAACAAAACTCTAATATAACAGAGTGTTAAGTAGCCTATTCAACAGAGATTAAATCCTACCCATCATTTGGGAAGGAAACAGAAAAATAATCCAGACTCTCATCTCCCCACCTGCACAATTGATTAATGGAATTTCAACATTGCTCAAGAACAGTGGTTCCTAATCGTGGGTCCTCAGATATTCTTGGAGTAAAATTCCCAGACTGATTAATGCTCAAGAACAGTGGTTCCTAATCTTGGGTCCTCAGATATTCTTGGAGTAAAATTCCCAGAAGACTTCACTACTCCCAGAATTTCTGGGAGACATAACCTACGAACATCTGGGGATCCAAGACTGGGAATCACTGCCGTGGAAGTTGCATCAAAAGTAGAAGGGTGGGGTTATGCCCAACTCCCATTCATGTGTAGAGCTCCATATAAAAGTGGTAGAGGTGATTCGTGGCCTTCCAGATGCTGGAGTACAACTCCCATCATTCTTGCCATCATTTACTAGCCAGCGATAATGGGAACTGCATTTCAACTACATCTGGAAGGTTGCTAGGTGACAATCTCTAACTTGTCACAGAATTTCCAGGTCACATGCCCATGTATATATGGGCTTTATCCATACTGGAGTTCAGAAGTAACCATTCTTTAGTAACATGTGATATTATTTATGAAGTCAAGTCTTTCCCATCATATGACCTGCATTATTCTATTAACCTACAGCAACCCTTCGTACATTTTTTTCATGGCTGGACCTTTGTGTCACGAAAGTATGACAAGGAAGAACAACTCCTAAGATTTGGTAGGACCACGTCGTTCCTTCCAATGCCACTATCACACAACTGGACTGTATGCATGGGAAAACACTAGGCAGGCCAAATGAATCACATCTTACTACTGTCCCAGCAAGGCCATGGATATGCCAGACTCCTCTCACCAGACGAGTACCAGACTATGATCCAAATTAAAATATACATGATAGGATTTTGTAATTATTTATAACCAACTATAAGATCATAGTCTGACATGAGGATGCCTTTCACTGTGCATTTGCACAGCCAGTGAAATACATATGTGAGTCAGTAAGCATTAGAGAGCCTAATTTGGCAAACCAACAAACTTAACTGAAATACAGATTTATTTTCCAAGCTGGGAGAGAGCACTAGCACTTACATGATCGCATATGAGTTTGTTTAGAATGAAGCTCCGCTGAGTTCAACAAAACTTTGGAAAATTAATTTCTGCTGAAACCAGCAGGGGTTATTTTGTGTGAGTAGTGAAGCTCTCCAGATTTAATTACACTCTCACTTTCACCACCCAAATATAGGCCACTCTGGAGTCCAACAGCATCTCGAACAGCCATGGCTCTCCCACCCTGTCCTAGTTAATGTTTGTTGAGCCACTAGTTCAGTTGTAAGAAGATCCCATCACACCTTTGCACCCTTAAGTATAGCACTGTTGTTGAGCAAGCATAGCAGTGTCGTTCTGCAGTTCTAAGTTTTGCAGTGGAAAAGCAGAATGTATAAAAACTACTTCTAATGTTTTGAACATTTTCATCAATATGCAATATGATGTGTTGTGTCATTGGACAGGTACAGATTCTGGACCGGTAAAAGAACACTCATTCAATTCCTTTTGCCTTCAGTTCTTCTCGAACTCGTTTCAGATAATCAGGATCAGGGTAGCCAAAACTAGAAGAGAGAGGAATAAAAGGAGTCTCCTTCAGTGAAAAGATGCTGGCATACAATAAATTTCACTCAAGTATCATGTAACTGGATATTTTTAAAGGAGAATTGTTTTTCAACACTGTATTTTGAAACCAACCCAGTTTAATAGAAGAAAACCAAAGAAGGAGGAAAAGTGAAAAAGTTGGTACCACGGTGGCTCCTGTCATCCAGCATCCTTCCAAAGACACCCAAAAGCAAAATACACATATAAATGAAGCAGAAGAACCACCACCACCACCACCCCATCACTTGAAAGCTGGATGAAGTCTAATGACTTATGAGGCCAGGAGATGACTTGATCATTTTTCAAAATTGTTCATCTTTACGGTTCTTTAAGATCACATGCATCTGAAAAAGCCCGTAGACACTTTTGTTTGCCCTCAGTTGGTTTCAACCTTTCTCAAAAAATGCAAAAGTTTTGTGCTGCTTTTCAAGAGACCACTTTTAAAGCTTTAAAAGGCTGCTTGGCAGACATGGGTACAGAACCACATACTGCTTCACAGACAGAAAGGTTCCTCCCATCCATGGATCGCTTTTCATCTGGTGCTACGTACTTTTCAGGTGGCTGAACAGGGAAGATCTTTACCATTCCCCCCTCCCTAGACCCCTCCCTCCTCAAATCTGTTCTGGAAGATTAGGCAACTCTTTAGAAAAGCAGGGGGGGGATGTAAGAGGGGACTGTCAAAGACTGTCTCCCCTTTTCCCACTGGCTGGAGAGAGCAGAATTCAGTTCATGGCATGTCACCCCAGGGCAGGATAATCTCGATTCAAGCCACAGGAACTGGATCTTCAGGTACATTAACTTAAGAAAGTTCATGGAAAATAAACTTTCCATTTCTTCCTCCCTGCTACAGTCACAAGTGTCACCCAGAAATTTTCTCAGGATTTCTGAAGAAAGTGGGATGAGGCCCAAGGTGTCTGGGAAGGAGAAAACATCCCAAATCATCCCAAGTAGCCTCTGCAACTCATCTTATATTTTTTAGAACAAGAATTCCTGACACTAAGAAAAGGAGCACCATTAAATATTATTCTTAGGTCTGGGGAATGTAACCTGTCACAGAGCAGGTCTGTCTGATCTTGCACAGTTTTGATTGTTGCAAAGTGAGAACCTGTGACAATAATGGTGAAATATATGAGATACTTTCATGGAGATGTCTGCTCTCTGTGCTTTGTTCAAAACAGCAACCGTTCCACTGAAGTGGCTTCTAAAAGCCCTTAAAAGCTTTAATGAGTTCACATTAAAAATAAACATTAAAAGTGGATGATACTGAGAAAGTCATGTTATATATCCTCTGCAAACAAAACAAAAACGATACGCACTTCTCTGGGCCTCCAATGGTGGATGTTTTGTGGTGAATGTCATTCCAGGTGACCACATCCGTTACACCCGTAGTACGAGACTGGCCCACGGTGAAGATCAATTTTTGGTCAAAAGCCTGTTGAAGCAGCCTTAAAATTTCTCGTCCTTCTTTGTTATCTGGTAAAAATGCTGTCCTAACGGTTCCCCTGAATCTTCTTCCAGGATTTGGATGGTTAGCCTGGTTTATAAAGGGAAAGGATATTAAAATAAACAATATATTATACTTTGGTAGGAAGAGCCTTGTGAATTGCAGGATAAAAAGCACATTCTCTCTATCCATATAACCCAGCCTCCTACTTGCAACCATGAGAAATGGAAAGCTCCTGGTAAGGCTTCTGAGCAAAGCCTAACATGGACAGTTTCCCAGTTTACCTTCGCGAGGACACCCAGTCCTCACTGGTCTGCTCTGGAGATTCCTCTCACTCCTTGAATGCCTTCTGCTAAAGGTTTACACTTCTCCAATCCTCAAGTGTTTGCTGACACCTGCCTGTTTTGAAGGAGCGCTGATGTTTTTGCTCCCCAGGTGTGAGCCGTGTCCTGTGAATCAAATTGGAAACAGAGCATCCAGCACCTGCTCCTTAGTTCCATCTCCATCCAAGAATGTATGCAATCCTTCTTTAAAGTCATGTAAACTCCGTATCTTTTAGTAGTAAGTTTGATAATTTAATTTTGTCCTAAACACATGGCCCATCAATTTCTTTGGGCATGACCCCCAATTCTGGCAGAGCGCCTTCTCCCACCCAGTTCTGCCAGAGTTACTCATTCTAGCCAGGTCCGGCAACTGAGGGGCCTCACGCCGAGGGAGGTCCGGAAGGAAAGAACGAGGAACTGGGCCTTCTCAGCAGTGGCCCCTCACCTCTGGAACAATTTACCTGTGGAGATTCACATTGCTCCCTCTCTGGGTGTCTTCAGGAATAACATCAAGAACTGGCTATTTGGGCAGGCTTTCCCTACGGCCATATCTTAACAGTCATATCTTGATTATTTATGATTCGCCATCATGGACTCTTTGGTTTTTAAATTTGTAAACCGCCCAGAGTAGACCCTTGGTTTAGATGGACGGGATAGAGATCTATTAAAATAAATAAATAGATAGATAGATAATATGAGAGAGAAATCTCTATCCACATCAATCAATATTTCATATACTTTTAAAATGTTCCTTTTGACCCCATTAACAGGTAACAGAGTAAAAAGGTTTGTAAAGATACAACAATGGTGTGCTGTCTTCAAAGATACTTCATCTATATTTGAAGGGAGCATACATAAGGATTCAAGATCTTTTTCCTCCCCCCATCTCCACTTTTTCTGATTGCTGCATTTTATGACTAGCTAACAATCATACTAATTCAGTCCATGTTGCTAAACTGTAGTATAACATGGCAGAATGCAGAGGCTGGTCTCCACTGAAGAGAAAGGTTCCTGTTGACTCCCCTTCAAAAGCTGCTCCTTCATTCAGCAAAAAACGATGCTTAGGTGAGACAAGCCATTCAACTACAATGGTGCCTCGCTTTACGATTGCTCTGCATTACGACGAAACTGCATTATGACGATCTTTTTGCGATCGCAATTGTGGTCGCAAAACGATGGTCTAAATGTTTTTTTTTTCGCTTTGTGATGATCGGTTCCCTACTTCAGGAACTGATTCTTTGCAAAACGGCGATTTTAAAAGAGCTGATCGGCGGTTTCAAAATGGCCTCCAGGTAAACAAAATGTCTCCCCACTGTTTTCTGGGACGGATTCCTCGCAAGACAGGCAGCGAAAACGGCTGCCCTATGGAGGATCTTCACTGGACGGTGAGTTCTGACCCCACTGGAACACATTGAAGGGGTTTCAATGGTTTTTTCCCCCGCTTTACGATGTTTTTGCTTAACGCCGATTTTCCTGGAATGGATTATCACCATTAAGAGAGGCACCACTGTACTAAGGAAAAAGTGGGAACACCCCCATAGGCATGTAAGCATACATGTGCTTGGGAAATTACAAGATGATGCATTTAAAGCAGGTTACAAACCATTAATACAATTGTGGAGGAACTGCACAACTGAAAGGTGCACCCTCTTTTTGGCTCTTTCCCACTAGTCTTTCTAACTGGCAGATACCCTCCTTGCAACATTTTGCTAGAATAAGCTTTTTCCTTATCTTTGGGGAAAAGAAAGCTGCGCTAAGAATTTTCCTGGGGGAGAGAAAAGCTCCTTTGCAACAGCAAAAACAAAGAGCCTTTTGGCAGCGTAAAACAATAGCAAATGTATTACCACATAAACTCCTGTAGACTAGGTTCCATTTCATGAGACACATACACTTTTATTTTCATTTTAAGGGGCCAATACAGCTTCCACTTCCCTTCCTCATTCTGGATAAGCCCCAACAGGATCACATTTTCCAGATCCAAAGTGATTCCTTCCGCCTTGTTCAGGAGCTGTTTGTTCCCTTATTGGGCAAAAATGTACAGATAATTCAGATGTGCTTTGCTCTTGGACACAAACAGATTCAATGAATCTATGCGGACCTAAAACAATTGTATAGGGTTAGGTATTGTAGTCCAAGTTGAGCATTTTAAAGACTGTGGAACAATTAAGGACCACTTAATCTTGAACCCTAAGCACCATTCATTTCAAGGAGACTTAAATGCAGATCACTGCACATCTGGCCTCCACATCTTCTTTGTGTAAAATCTAGAAGTTAGTGAAGGAGTCTAGCTTTCCTACTTTACATTCCCAAGTGAAATCACTTTTCACTGATAAATAATCAGACAACTCAAATTTACTAATTACGCTTTTAAAAAGTCATGCTTCAGCTTAACTTACAGTTTGAACACCATCAGCTATGGAGTAGGTAATACAGATAGTACCATATCCATGATGGCCAGGAAGTGAGTGTCTTGTTTTGTCGACATTCATTTTCCCTGGTGGTTGATTTCCTTGTATCTTCCCGTAGAACGTGTTGCACACGGGGCAGGCGGGCTTATGTTTCATTGCCTCTTTAAGGCACGCCCTACAAAATGCATGCTTACATTTGGGCAGTTCCTCTTTGTCATGGAATTCGTCCATGCAGATGGAGCACTGCTCCTCTTGATCACCTGCTGTTGCCTTTACGCTTGATTGCTCCTGGGAAGGAAGCGAATGCATTTTGCCACCAAGGCTTTGTTCAGAGGATGCACCTGAAGCAGACGGAGCACTGGAAGGGTATGTGGGCATCCCAACACCTTTTACAGAAGGATTCACTGGGCAAGTGTGCAAGAATCTCATGATGTCTCTCTCAGTTTTGCATACTTGCTCCGGCACACCACGTATGAAGACCGTCTCTCCTTTTTTCTGCAGCAATACTTTACGATTCTCTGATTGTAAGTGTGAAAAAATGTCATTCAGCATTTTTTTCTGAGTCTCCGAAAGTTCTGGAGTAATGGCTTTTTCTCTGGTTTGTCCTAAAGCCTTCTGGTAAAAGTGGACAAAATCCTGGTAAGCTTCAGAAGACCCATCCACGCTTCCAGACTTTTTGGGCTTAAAAAGTATGCGTTGTTTCTCATTTTGCGGACAGGGCTTGCTCACCATCACAGTCTCATATTTTTGGTTTATAGCTTGAATATGTTTTTCTAACTCTGGTTTCAGGAATTCAAATACATGAGCATCGACTTCAATGTGACTTTCTGAAAACTGGGTGTCATTTTTTTCATCCATGTTCCCCGCTTTTATTTTTTCTATGACACTTTTAGCAGCTGAAATCTCCTTTGCTGGGCCACGGAGAATTAAGCGATTTCCATCAGTTTTAACCAGGAGACTTTTATGCTGGTCACGTAAGAGATCCTGTGCCTTGGCAAAATGGAGGCTGTCAGTGAAAGGAATAATTTCCTGTCTTACATACGTTGCTACTTTCTGAAAAGCCGTGATAAAAGTCTGCTGAGCTTTCTCAATGGAGTCTGGAGTCCCAAGAGCAGTAAATCGTACAGAACTCATCCCATTGTCGTGATCCTTAAAAGTAAACATTACTTTAAACTTCTGTGTTAGTTCATCAATCTGTTCCTTGCAGGCCTGGCGGAAATACTCAAGAATCCCTGAAGGCACTTCCATATTATACACTTTATCTAGATCATCCTGGCTTTCTTCTTTTGGGCCTTCCATATCCACATCCATATCTTCCAAACTGTCTTGCTTTTTAGGCGGCAAAAATTCACGGCCATTGCAATGAGAACTTGTGAGGAGCTTCTCAAAATGAGAGTGTAACTTTTGAATATCGCCAAAGTCTCCTGACACTTTTTCTATGCCACGTGAATCTGAGCGTGAGTCTATTTTTATGGCAGGCCACATGGTGATCACCCGATCCCTTTGCTCTTTTGAAAGCAAATCCACATTCAAAGTGGCAGATACATCAACAAAGATCTGAGAAGGAAAAAAAAGAGTACAAGCCAAATTGAGCAAACACAGTGAAGTGGTTAAATGCATGGATGTCCCTGGTCCACACCATGAGTTCGTAAGGCAGACTTAAAAAGGTAAAGGTAAAGGTTCCCCGGCAGACTTAAAAAGGTTCCCCTTGACAATTTTTGTCCAGTCATGCTCGACTCTAGGGGGTGGTGCTCATCCCCGTTTCCAAGCCATAGAGCCAGCGTTTTGTCCGAAGACAATATTGTGTGGTCACATGGCCAGTGCGACTTAGACACGGAACGCTGTTACCTTCCCACCGAGGTGGTCCCTATTAATCTACTTGCATTTGCATGCTTTTGAACCGCTAGGTTGGCGGGAGCTGGGACAAGCGACGGGTGCTCACTCCGTCGCGTGGATTCGATCTTACGATCTGCTGGTCTTCTGATCCTGCAGCACAGGATTCTCCGGTTTAGCCCGCAGCACCACCACGTCCCACAGACTTAGCCAAGCCATTTTCTTTCAGCATGAAGTAGCATCATTGTACTGCCCTCTATTATAAGAAGAGGAATGAGGATGAGGCGCCTTGTGAGCAAAAAGCCCTAATTCACTCCAGAGCTTATGTCCAGGTGGGGCTGGGAAAATAAGCCAGGCATCCGAACAACTCAGGATAAAAGGCAGAGGTCTATGATCCTGTGATGGTCGAAAGGATCCCTGAGAGTCAGATATTAATCAAAGGGAATCCATGTCCCCAGTAATTAACTCCATTTCCAATGTCACAGCAGGATTTCCTCAGACAGGTGTCTCAACAATCATACTTCTATACTAAGACTATGTTTGCTTTTCAATGATCAATAAGGAACAAAGCATGATCACTGCAGTTTAGGACCTCGGCCAGAAAATGTAGTAAGTGGGTTGTCTAATTTGCCCCTCAGATACATGTATAAAATTCTTTCAGCAGCTTAAAAAAAAAGCATTACAGTGATGCCGCGCATAGCGACGATAATCCGTGCAGCCAAAATCGTCGCTATACGGATTCGTCGCTATGCGAAATAAAAAAGCCCATAGGAATGCATTAAAACCCGTTTTATGCGTTCCTATGGGCAAAAAAACTCACCTTTAAGTGAAAGTGCTCCATACAGCCGCCATTTCCGCTGCCTGGTAAGCAATTTTTTTCCATCTAAATCATCGCAATGCGATCGCTTTTGCGATCGCAAAAACTTAATCGCTATGCGGATTCGTCATTAAATGGGGCGCCCGTTAAGTGAGGCACCACTGTATTTTTATTCTGCATCAGCCTTGAGCTCCCCACCTGTCTCACACCAGAGTTCCTTCGTGGTGCCAACTCTTGTTTCTGGAGCTGCCTTCTTTTCCTACTCTGAGCTAGACATTCAAGAAAGAAAAGAAAAAAAGCCAGCCTCTGGTGCAGCTGACTCCATGTCTCTTGCCAACTGGGTGAAAGCAGTTGACTCTGGAGAGTTGCCTGGAATCTCTCTCCAGAGAAATGCAGGCTCTGCTGGGGCAGATGCACGGGGGGAACATAGCACCAGCATTCACTATCCCCAATGCCCCTTCACTTGAGGTCCTCTCTCACAGAAGGACTGCCCTTGGTTAGGGTGGATTTAATTTAAATCACATTGGTTAAAATAGCTAAAATCATGCAAATTTTTTGCAGAAAAATGTGTAATCATGCTTGCTAGATAGCTCACTGGTTTAGGTATCTGGCTGAAGAACCAGAGATTGGGAGTTCGATTCCCCACTGTGCCTCCCTGTCAGAAGCTGGACTCCATGATGCATAGGGTCCCTTCCAGTTTTGTAGTTCTAAGGTTATCATTAATATAATTTTAATACTTTCTGCAATCTCCTTTCCCAGACTGGCTTAATCTGTAAAAATCCTCCACAGACTCAATCAAGGAAACTACTGAAAGCAATCATGGAGATTAAGAATGCTTCAAAGAATTCCCAAAATTATGTCTTATTAAGAAGAAAAGTGCTGTCCTAGACTGATTACTAAGTACTTCGAAAGATAGAAAGGTTAATTCCTGAACAATCCACACAGAGGCCTATGGAACACTATGAAATTGACATTCCAGTCCAAGAACTGTTGCAATCTATTTCCAAAATTTCTAAAGAAAGACTGGTTTAATACACTGTCTGATAATAGAAAACAAAAATATGTAATCCCTATTCCATAATGCCACCTTTGGGCTACAATATATTTGAAATTAAGAGTTTCATAATGTAAAGCTTTTTTTTTTTTTAAATTAACAATCATTTAAAACTGCAGGTTAAACCGCAGAAGCATCTGTGCTGCAAGGTTGGAAGACCAGCAGTCGTAAGACTGAATCCATGTGACAGAGTGATCTCCTGTCGATTCTCCCAGCTCCTGCCAACCTAGCAATTCGAAAGCATGTAAATGCAAGCAGATAAATAGGTACCACCTCGGTGGGAAGGTAACGGCGTTCTGTGTCTAGTTGTATTGGTCACATGACAACGGAAATTGTCTACGGACAAATGCTGGCTCTATGGCTTGGAGACAGGAATGAGCACCGCCCCCTAGAATCGGACATGAGTGGACTAAATGTCAAGGGGAACCTTTACCTTTACCTTAAAAAGCTTTAAATTTAAAAAAAAATGTTTTAATTTTTAAAAAATCAATCTTGTCAACAGGTAGTGATAGAAAATTTACTTAACCTTAATTTTGAAATCTCAAAGTATCTCAACAATTCCAGGAAGTTCATATTATGCAGTATTAGAAAAAGGGATTTGATTCAAGAGTTCTAAACACTTCTGGACTGGGCAACACTGGAGTCTTACCTTTCTTGTAATACTATTGAGATCACTGGCATATTTTCCATGTCTCTTTTCAAGATCACTTTGAAATGACAAGGTGCTTGAAGCAGAAGATGACTTTGCAGTAGAACGAAGGACACTGTTTGTAAATGACTTTGCCTCATGATCCAGCACAGTTTCAGAATCTGCCAAGATATGTATGTCTAGGATCTTCCCTCCAATCTCTATGGAATGGGGTTTATGTGCCTTCACACGGTTCTTCACTAAAACAATTTGGGGAAAAAAAGACATTCATTAGTAAGAATAAGGACATCACAGATGCCACAGAGGCCCATTCTCTCCCCTCCTCCAGAACTGGCTAGTCTACTCCCCATTCACTGTGCAGCAGTTGGCTCTGTTGTTGCTGTTGTTGCACCAATTGTGGAAGAATCTTCCCTGCCTCCCCACACAGCCAGCCACTCATCAGCTGAGTGGGCATCATGGTGGTCAGCTGCTTGGTGAGGTGGGGAAAAGTCAGGCGGGCAAAGCAATATCTAGAAGTATAGGAACACACAAGCTATTCATTGCTCCAGTTATTTAATGTATTATGTTTCTAAGTAAGGGTAGCTCTTACGGTGCACCCTCAAAACAGCCACACACAAAAAGGATATATCTGGTCAACAGTAAATGGTGCTGATATTCCTAGAACCATTACAGTGAAACTCACTGATGTTCTGTAGTGGTTATTACACTTCCAAGAGGATCAAACAGAAAAGTTACATGGCACTACTTTGTTTAGAGAAAGGCTGAGGAACACACGGCCTTCCAGTTCTTATTGGAGTATAACTCCCAGCAGCCCTAGGGAACATTGTTAACGATAAAGAATGTGGGAGATGCAATTCAAACAGCATCCGGGAGACTAGAGTTTTCCTGATTTCTGGTTAAAAACACGGATGGAGATACTGCACCCACCTGATGTTACTGGATTCCACTTCCCATCATTCCTCTCCCTTAGCTAAGCTAGCAAGGCTTGATGAGAGTTAGAATTTATGAATGCCTTACAACAAGGGCAGGCAACCTCTCCGGCTGTAGAGACCAGCTTTCTGCACAGACCATCAAACAAAAAGAAGGGGAGCAGTGGAAAGAAACTGGAAGGGTATGGAAATCTACTTGCTGTTTTGAAAAATTATTATGAGAAAATGTTTTATTGTACAGTGCAGGGGATTAGGACCTATTTAAAAGATGTATCACCTCTCCTGAAGTCATCCAGAAGTTTCAGTTTGCTGCTTTTTGTAAGAAAAAGAGCAGCCCAGAAAATATTTATTTCTACAAAAACAACCACATGTAGCTGCAATTACTGTAGATCGGTCAATTACTACCAATTGGACATTGCTACAGTCATGCCCCGCTGGACGATTACCCCACTCTACGACGAATCCGCATTACGTTGACGTTTTTGCGATCACAAAACGATGGTTTAAATGGGGAAATTTCGCTTAGCGATAATCGGTTCCCTGATTCGGGAACTGATTTTTCGCTTTACAACTATCACAAACAGCTGATCGTCGGCTTTCAAAATGGCCACCGGCTTTCAAAATCCCCCCCCCGTCTTCTTGGACGGATTCCTCGCTTTACAGGCACCGAAAATGGCCGCCGCATGGAGGATCTTTGCTGGACGGTGAGTTTTTCAGCCCATTGGAACGCATTGAACGGGTTTTCAATGCTTTTCAATGGGATTTTTTCGTTTCGCAACTGAAGTCCTTTTTTTCCTGAGCTGGGAAGTGTTTAGATGCAACATAGTAGCAACTGGCCTCAGTCTGGTTCGATCAGCCTTAAGCCAGCCTGGCTAGTTAGGATTGGGCCCTAATTTGGAAACACTGAACGGGAATTTTAAAATATTGAAAGAAGTAACAAGAAATAAGTTTGACGATTTAAGGAACACTGGAGTATCATGGTTTGGCAGAAACACACCATGCAAAATGATGATATTACCCAAGATAAAATTTCCATTTCTGATGCTACCAATAGAGATTGGCAAAGTAGAGTTCAAGAATTGACAAGATGTGATTAATAAATTTTGTAATCAAGATAAGAAGTCAAAGATTAATTAGAGGAGATGGCTAAATCATTAGAGGGTTGTATCTTCCCAATTTAAGTCTCTACCATATAGTTAGTCAATTAAGACATATGCCAGAAATTATATCTGAGTGCAACAAACTAAGGTGGTTCAATATGGAAAAAATAATTGCATTTGAACTCTGCAAATATTCTCTGTATACAAAATAAAATAGGGTAAATATATAGAAAATCCCTTCTTTAAAAATATGCTATTAGTTTGTAATAAATATTGCATCTGGAGACAGAGTTGGAGAAATTCCCAAGAAACCTAAAAGGAGTAAGTGAGGATTTATGAATAAAGAGGCAAATTATTAGAATAAAGAACTTAAAAAATAAAGAATAAAGAGCAAATAAAAGTGTCAGGTATGGATAAACAATGTTATTCAATTACAGCAATGAACAACGATCCAGGCAAAAAAACCTGGTAAATGTAAAGAACTTATAAAATATGAAGGAATTATGTTACAAAAGGAAAGTGAAGGTGAAAACAACACAGTGAAAAGTATAGTAACTAAAATTTCTAATATATATAATCGAAGCAGAAGATCAGGAGGAATCATTTAAATTAGGGGTCTCAAACATGCGGCCCAGGGGCCATTTGCGGCCCCCGGAAGATAGTTTGCAGCCCCCGCCTTGCCTGCACCCCCCAAAGCGCCCACGCGTCCTCTGCTGTCAAGAGTTTAAAAAGCCTTGCTTTGCTCACCAGCTCTCTCCCAAGACAGCGCCTCTTGCACCCTCCACGGCAGGGAAATCGAAACGGAAAGCCTTACTTCAGCTGCTAAGATTTTTGCGCGTCATGCGTGCGTTGAGAAATCAAGGAAGTTTCCCCGGGTGGGGCAGGAGGGGGGGATGATGGTGTCAAGCCCTGAATCCAAAACCCCTGGGGAAGGAAAAGCGAAGGCGACGTTTCAAGAACGAGTCGGTCGCCAGGCGCGCCAGGGCTCGGAGTCCCGTCCGCCGCCCAGCCCATCCCAGTCCAGCCCGCACCCTTGCCCAGTCAGTCGGTCACCTTCCTCGGACTGGAACCACACCGCGTAGACGCCCAGCTCACGATCCTGAACTTCCACTCGGCACTCGCCACCCCCGGATCCCTTCGCCGACTGGAAGTGTTTCTCCAGCTTGATTTTCACCGTCTCGACCTTGTCCGACGAGCGGACTCGCACCCGGAGCGGAGAGAGCCGTCCGGCCATGGCGCGCGCTTGGCCGAGAGCGGGGAGGAAACTTTCGCTTTCGATTCTTCGCCGCCGGAGCGAGAAAAGAACCACGACGACGGCGCCGCCCATCCCGGGCGGACAGCGCCGCCTGCTGCCCGTCTCAGGCAACGAGGAGCCAGAGGGGGTTGTGGCCAGCGACGAGGGCTCGCACGCCCCTCCTCCTCCTCCTCGGAGCCCCAGCTGGGCTAAGGAAATTCCTGGTCAGCTTCCTTGGGCTCTTGCTCCGCTTGGCAGAAAATCTGATGCAGCCCAGCCTCACCCAGACTCTGCCTCCAGCGGCCCCCAGGTAAATTGAGTTTGAGACCCCTGGTTTAAATCATTATGAAAATTTGGAAAAAGAAATAAGTATTAGTGCTGGGAAACATATATGGAAATATTAAAAAAATTAAAATCTATGTCAGTAAGGATGAAAGGAAAATATTTAAGTTAGTTTGGAGATGGCACTTAATTCCATTGAAATTAAATGAAGTACAGTAGATGGTAATTATTTCAAGATGTGGAAGAGAGTGCCAGAAAGTCGGAACTTATTTTCATATGCGGTGGAAGTGTCAGAATATATTGAAATTTTGGCAATTGGTTTTCAATAAATGAAATAAGTAAGCTAAACGTAGCTGTGTGCTCTAAAATAATGGTTTTATAAATATTTGAAAAAGAGGAAAGTAATTGGACAACTGTTCATGGGGTATTCTTGGCAAAAATACTGGAGTGGCATTGCCATTTCCTACTCCAGGTGGATTGCGTTTAGTTGGAACTCTCCACTATGACCTGCCAGTCTTGGGTGTCCCTGCATGGCATAGCCCATAGCTTCTCTGAGTTACTCAAGCACCTTCGCCATGACAAGGCAGCAATCCATGAAGGAGAAGATAAGACTCCCTGGAAAAGACGCTGATGTTAGGAAAGTGGGAAGGCAGGAGGAAAAAGGGATGACAGAGGATGAGATAGTTGGACAGCGTCATTGAAGCTACCAACATGAATTTGACCCAACTCCGGGAGGCAGTGGAAGACAGGAGGGCCTGGTGTGCTCTGGTCCATGGAGTCACAAAGAGTCGGACACGACTACAGTAAATGACTAAACAACAACAATTGGACAACTAAATAATCAACTTCCAATTTGCTAACAGCAGCAAGATAGAGTATTGGTAGGCATCAGTAGAAACCTCTTATAATTTCCAGATAAATGATTAGTATAGGGAAATTTGAGATATAGTTATCAATTATGTTTATATGTTATAAGTTAAGACCTAACAGGCAGAGATGAATTTATAGCTAAACTGAGATAACTTATCAACTTTGTATTTCTAAAGGGGAAAGGGGAAAGCCCAAAGCAAGAGTCAAGACAGCTCTGTAAGGGAAATGGGGCTCCACAGTGTTGTTTCTCCCAAATGCTGTTTGTGTGGGGAAGCAATGTGTATTTAGTCATTTCTTTGTTACTTTTTTTCCTTTGTTTCTGGTTTTTATATAAATTATAATTTTAATAAAGGGCATGGTAGACGGGATATGCTAGAACCAGGTTGGTTCCTTTTAAAATAAGGCTAAATAGAAGTAACGAAGTTCACACACCCTTCATTTGCAACTCCCGAAATAGCCAGCAAACCACTTGCGATGAGCCACTGACGGTGCACCTGCGCAGAGGCAATGCCTGCTTTAAAACAGCCTGAATTCATTTTTTCCCCTCGTGCTACAAAGCCTTCCCGAAGTGAGGCCAGGCCCAAGCACGAACCCAAACGGGCCTGTCAGTCATTTTTTTTCCCTTGGCACGACTCTCGGGCCTCGACACGTCTTGGAGCAGACACGAATCCAACAGGTCACCGGCAGGGAAATCGAAACGGAAAGCCTTACTTCAGCTGCTAAGATTTTTGCGCGTCATGCGTGCGTTGAGAAACCAAGGAAGTTTCCCCGGGTGGGGCAGGAGGGGGGGGGTGATGGTGTCAAGCCCTGAATCCAAAACCCCTGGGGAAGGAAAAGCGAAGGCGACGTTTCAAGAACGAGTCGGTCGCCAGGCGCGCCACGGCTCGGAGTCCCGTCCGCCGCCCAGCCCATCCCAGCCCATCCCAGTCCAGCCCGCACCCTTGCCCAGTCGGTCGGTCACCTTCCTCGGACTGGAACCACACCGCGTAGACGCCCAGCTCACGATCCTGAACTTCCACTCGGCACTCGCCACCCCCGGATCCCTTCGCCGACTGGAAGTGTTTCTCCAGCTTGATTTTCACCGTCTCGACCTTGTCCGACGAGCGGACTCGCACCCGGAGCGGAGAGAGCCGTCCGGCCATGGCGCGCGCTTGGCCGAGAGCGGGGAGGAAACTTTCGCTTTCGATTCTTCGCCGCCGGAGCGAGAAAAGAACCACGACGACGGCGCCGCCCATCCCGGGCGGACAGCGCCGCCTGCTGCCCGTCTCAGGCAACGCCCGAGCTCCGAGCCCTCGCCAGGAGGAATCTTCTCCGCCTTTAAAAAGTTGCAGGGCGGGCAGAAGTTTAACCGGTGAGGGTTTTTTTTTTTTCCTCTCTTGTTGCTGTAGTTCCGTCCGGCACCTCTTGACTTCTGACGGCGCTGATTGAGTACGGTGGGCTCCCCGCCTTCCGAGCCCGTAGAAGACGAATATATCTGATGGGATGTGAAGTTGTGATGGGAGTGAAAGGAATTTCGTTTGTCTTTCAGGCAACACTAGATTCGTCGTTGTTTTGCTCGCAGCACGGGTACTGTCCCTGTGGAAGACCATTTCAAGGAGTGCCTTGGTGATGCTTGCACTGGTTAGGGGCGTCGTCCTATAGAACTGGTTGCCCCCCCCTCTCAAAATAGTTAATGCAAACCCCCAAAATGTAAATTGCAGTCTTGCAACTCCGTGTTAATTACTCTTAGAGGGCTCCCACGTTTTGATTCTGGCCTCAAGATCGTTGCATCGGATTAAGGTAATCACCCGATCCCTTTAAGAAAATCCAGTTGAACAATATGGGGCAAGTCTTGGGTTGTTACTTACAATTTCCAGTCGTGGCAAGACCAATAAGGTTAACCCTATCCAGTTTCACCAGCCTTTTGGTGATTGTCAGAAGGTGTTTGGTTGGCCCTGAACCCTGCAAAGGTTGGAATGGGATCCTCAACATGCCTTGTTTGAAATAAACCCCATTGAATACACTGGGACTTAATCCCACCTGAGTGTGTACAAGACAGCAGCTGTTGCTGCTTCCCACCTGTCACTATTGGTGAAGTAAATCCTGTTGAATCCAATTGAACTTCCTTCCAAGTGTGCATATTTATGATTGCTAATAGTGCAGTCCCATTTCCCTAGGCTTTGAGTCCCATTGATTTCAGCTGAACATGTTCTGAGTGAAAATTAGCACTACCAAGAACTACATTTTTACCAAGCATCCCAATAATGAGCGATTAGGCAGGCATAAATCTCTGGTTTGACAAGATGTCTAAGAAGGTAGACTCTGCTAAGAAGCCTTCTTAGATAAAGATGTTATATGCTGTCAAGGCACTTCTGATTTATGTCAGTCCTGATAGGGCTTCAAGGCGAGTGACATATTCAAGGAATGGTTTACCAGTGTTCCCTTCCCATGAATTTCAAAGCCAAAGCTGAGCTGGTATTTGAATTCAGGTCGCCCAACTCTTACTTCCATAATTTATTCACTATATCATGTTGGCTCCCTAAATAATGAAAATAAAACAAAGAGATGCTGCACCCCTGTTGCTAGATTGTCTTGGAGAAGTTGCTAAAGGCTGCAGAACCTTATACTGAAATGAATGTATTAATCTTTAAAATGGCACAAGACTGCCTTTTAAGTATGATGTACTTAAGACATGCATGCATAACATCTAGTTTGGTACTGGCCCACTTACCATTGAAAGTGATTATAAGAACTTATGACAATATTTTTACATAAATATCATCTTGGGGTAGGGGAGCACACACATTATATGCACACTGCCTACTGTACTTCATTCCCAAGGATGGGATTTCATCAAAGGTCTGCTTTCCTATGCATTCCTCATTCGTGACAATGTTCCTGGAGCATGCATGTTTTTCCTTGGAGATGAAACAAAGGATGTAGTTCTTTCTTTATTTGTTTTAAATACATTTATGATATTTGTAAGCTTTTTTAAAAGGCAAACTTTCCAAAGGGTGGCAAGCAGCAATAATTTAAAAGGCTCAAAGATGAACCACAGTAAAATGGTGCGGCTAAAAATATTGTAAATAAATAAATAAATAAAAGCAAAAAGAAAACCAGATAGCACCGCACAATGGCCCCTCTGTCACAGTGACCCTGGAGGGGTCTCTTGAAGGCCTGAAGTGATGGTTGGGCAGGCCTCAGCTGGAAGGTTCCACAAGATGGTAGCATTACTGAGAAGGCTCTGTTCCTTGAGTCCGTGAGCCTCTACATCAGACATACAAACAGATGGCCCTCCAGATGTTGCTGAACCATAGTTCCCATCACCATTGGTTTTAACAGCTAGAGCTGATGGGAGTTGCAATCCAGCAATGTCTGGAAGGCTTTTTATTCCGCAGCCCAACTTTACACGGTAATCCGAGCTCCGAGCCCTCGCCGGGAGGAATCTTCTCCGCCTTTAAAAAGCTGCAGGACGGGCAGAAGTTTAACTGGTGAGGGTGTTTTTTTCCCTCTCCTGTTGCTGTAGTTCCGTCCGGCACCTCTTGAGGCCTGTCCTCAGTCCTCTGCCTAGACAAATGGAAAACGGGGGAGAAAAGAAGTGGCATCTAAGAGGGGAAAAGCAGGAAGGGATTCAAGATGGGGAACATGATGCAATTTTTGGTAAGAGAACAGAAAACAAAGTTTCAGCATAGACTTTCAGCCTATCTGCCACCAGAGTGAAAATTAACCTTTGTTGTTGTTGTTTAGTTGTTTAGTCGTGTCCGACTCTTTGTGCCCCATGGACCAGAGGACATCAGGCCCTCCTGTCTTCCACTGCCTCCCGTAGTTGTGTCAAATTCATGTTGGTAGCTTCGATGACACTGTCCAACCATTTCATCCTCTGTCATCCCCTTCTCCTCTTGCCTTCATACTTTCCTAACATCAGAGTCTTTTCCAGGGCGTCTTCTCTTCTCATGAGATGGCCAAAGTACTGGAGCCTCAGCTTCAGAATCTATACTTCCAGTGAGCACTCAGGGTTGATTTACTTTAGAATGGATTGGTTTGTTCTCCTTGTGGTCCAGGGGACTCTCAAGAGCCTCCTCCAGCACCACAATTCAAAAGCATCAATTATTCGGCGGTCAGCTTTCTTTATGGTCCAGCTCTCACTTCCATACACC